GATGGGCCCCTCATGGAGAAAAGTGAATCTGTCATTAATATCAAATGTATCCGTGGCAGGACTTATGAAAATGCCACATTGATAACATAAGAATGCAGGATGCACTGTGCTATCTTAGTTGATCCTGCAAACCCCAAATTTTAGGCACTACTATGAGCACCTATGAGTGACTGTGGGAAGGAGGCAAGGGGTAGGTAAAGCTGTCCAGCATCCAGAAGGATTGAAAAGCTATTCTTTAGTTGGCCATGCAACTACATCTAGAACAAGAGTGACTCTGAATCCTGAAATCCAGCCTCCAGAATCAATAACAGTTCCATCTTGTCAGAATTCAGCTTCATTTTACCATATATAGTCTTTTACACACTGGAGACATATGGAGGTTCTGATGATATCTATCTAAATCTTTAGAAAATGAGATGTAAAGCTTTCACCTGCATTTTGATGACAATTAGTTCCAAAGCTGCAAATGATCACTCCCAACAGTTTCATTAAATTACATGGGATACAAGATGGAATATTGCAAGATCACCTAAAGAAAGTTCTCAAGGGGTTGAGCAGAAGTCTCCCAGTATAATATTCTGGATTGCACCCAGAGAGATAGGAACAGAATCATCATCAAGCAGAGCTTCTAAACACCAGCTCCCTCCCACAAGAGTTCCAGCGAGATGCTACAGTCAAGAAAAACTTAAGTCATAAAGAAATGACAGAAGTTACAACAAAGTCATCTTTCCACTGTCTCCTTCTCACTGCAGATTATCTAATGGGTCAACATATGCATACCTAACCCATTTCCTCTAAGAGCTACAGTGCTACTACCTTCACCACCAGCTTGGCTAAATATTAGACACTAGCTGATAGTTGTTAAAAATTGATGGATCCAGTATTATTTTCTTAAGCCATGGGGGTGAGGCTTCAATGTATCCTTTACAGAGAAATATAAGGATGGAATTATTTGATGTCTTTATTGGTCAAGCCATGGAAGGATCTAACACATAATTAGTGCCATAAATAGAATCAAGAATCTTATCTGCAACCTCAGGGGACAAGTAATGGAACTGATTCAAAAAAATGTTATTAGCATGATAAACACCCTAGACATAGTATTTCCCAAAGTGACATCAAGCCAGTATGAATCTGAGCAATTTTATTTCTGAAGAATTGTACAAGTTGGTCAGAACATAGTTAAGCTCAGGTGGTATCAAAGCATTGCTGAAAGAATTGGAGGCTAGGGCATCTGTAAAACAGTCCTGAAAAGTTTCCTTGGATGGTTTGCTATGAACACAGTCATGGTAGAAATACACTATTATTTTCTCCTCTCTGATTCCTACAGTGTAGACCTTATTAGTAAGCCCTCCACTGTGTCCAGCCTGATTCTGTAGTACTATTGCATTATGTTTACAATTATATCTCCAGTGTGTGCTGCTCCACGATCAAGCAAGCTGCCTGTCCTCATGTTTCGTCATCCACAACCACACTGAACACCCTGGAACTTACAGGCACCAACACAGAAATTAGAAGTGGAGTTTATGGGTTTAAATTATAAGAGATTAAATTCCAATTGAACACTACGAGAGATTTCTTAATGCTTAAATGATCAGTGTTAAAACGGGACTATATTATATGTGGATGATGGGCACTGTTTTTCATTGGAGTTTTTTTTTTTAGCCAAAGCTGGTCTTTTATCTGATAGGATTGCTGTAGCTTTTGATTTCCTGGATCAAACAGTTTTGGGGATTGGATAACCAGTACTCCCAAGCTATACGACTGGATCTAAATAACATGTTCAAACATAATGTGGCTTGTTCAACCTTGATTTAACATGATATATGAACCCAGCCATTGTGGTTTACTGTTTAGCATTATGAGAGACTGGGGCATGTGCCATAAGCCGTATATCATGACTAAGTACATTACGTTAACTCAACTAATGATTTTAGGCAAAACTATGAAATATTTTGGAATTGGCAAACTCTGTAAATCAAGGGAGTAATTGCTGATTCACAATCCTACTGCGGCTGAGAATCTGGATGCTTTTTGAACAGTTTTGTCCAGAGAGGAATTTGCTTATAAGCAAGCATTCATGAGATTGAATTGTCAGGCTGCAGTCCTATGCATATTTATAAGCAAATAAGCACATTTTAATACAGTGAGTCCTACAGACCTACATTTGAGTAAACAAGCATATGATTCAGGGTAAAGATTAGATTCTTCCAGCCCTATTTCTGCATGAATCATCACTACATATCCAACAGCCACCATAATCAAAGGAGATTTTACTGTGCACATTCTGTACAGCGTATATCTATAGCTACACTCACAATACCTGACTGATTGTCTAGTACCAGAGCAAAGAAAAGGCTCCTTCAAAAATCTTTATGTATTTTCACTGTTCATCCAGGAAAAAGATGGATTGCCATGGTAACATCATAATGGAAAATAGGGCAAGTTTTTATCAATATTTGTCAGGCTTATGCTGCTAGATTTTTGCTTAGAAAATTACTCTGAAAGCAGAAATAGACCTGCATTTAACTTAGACCAGAAATAGACCTTGCATTTCAGAGTTAAGATAATCTGATCAGTGGGTAAATTAGCACCAATGAATAAGCAAGATTTAATTGATAACAGAACTGGTTTTCCAGAGAAACTCGTGTCAAAATTTAATGAAAAAAAAATCAAGATTAATTTTTAGCAAGAAATGTAAATGAAATATGGAAATTAATTATTCTGAATGGCCTGTTAGCATAATAGCCAGGCATACAGCATGCAACAAAAGGACTACAAAATTCACTGTGCAGGGAGATAGATGGGGGAATGTTACACAGTAAATGAAGTCATATTTAATTATATTAATGTTCACACTGGATCTTATATGGTTCTAATACATTATGGTATATCAGATGCCATTAAGTCATTCTGCCATAAATGAAATTTAAGTACCTGGTTAATTTTTTCAGAATTAACCTATACGTGCACCATCTACTATGAAGTTTCTCCATGTATATCCAATTGTAATAAAAGTGATCTATTCATGTCAGTAGACTCCGCAGTACAAGGCTATACTGAACATTTCCTTCTTATGCTTACACTTATTTAATGTGGCAACAATTCATAAATATGAATACAATAATTAGGACAGAGGAGAGATGTGATCTGTAAAATCTATTTACAATATGCATCAGGGAAGAATTAATGTAAAGCCTATTTGAAGGATTTATATAAGCAATGCTGCATTTTGGGCAAGTCTTTGTTTTATAGCGAGACACAACTGCATTTAGACAAAATTTCATCAAGGCGAAAAAAGGGCACTTGTTTATCTTGCACCAGCCCTCCCTAATTTGGCATCATCCAGATGTTTCGATTACAACTCCCCTCATCCTCCAGTCAACATAGCCACTGGTGCAAAGCACATCCTCCCATGCAGTATTTTATAACAAACTTTAACTGGCCTCTTTATGTTGCAAAGAACTCTTGGAAAGAGTGAACTGTAGCTAAGATACCTTCCACACCACTTCTGAGTTTAGACCTAGGAATCAAGCCAATCAGTGATTTGTCTCATCATGGGAGAACCTCCAGAACTATCCAATGATCCCTATCACAGACCAGTGTGACAACATAAAAACAAGATCCAGCCATGGGCACTCACCACCCTCCTTGGGGGTTTATAGAATCATTGCAGTCATCACAGCATCATCCTTCTGAACATAATTGAAAAGAAATGTGACTGGTAACAAAGTAACAGGATGCTCAAGAGCTGGGAGTTCCCCCCAGAGGGAAAAATGCTCCACACCCAAACTCCATGGTGCACTAGATGTTCAGCTGAAAAAACAGAACTGAATTAAACATAAACAGGCTCAGCTGTCAAACAGGGACAAAGTCGCAGGATCATAGAAGCATCAAATGATCCTGGAGTAGAACAAATGCCACATGTGGAGATGTTGTAAGAAGGGTGTGCTTAATCTTGTTCTTCCCAGATGTTTTTCCACTGACGCTTCACCATCACCATTCTGATCAGTTTTCATCAGGATTCCAGCCCTACCAGAAGAATAAAAGCAACTTTTATCAGGGAGAAAACTATTCTCAAGGGAAGGATATGGGATACTCTCTCTTCTGACATTTCTGTAATGCAGACTGCCTTCCAGGGGACTTTGCAGTGGAGCCATGTCTTAGCCATGGCTCTAATATAACTTGTAGTTTGCCCCACAGTGAAGTCAAGATCTAATATCTGACAGGATAGGGATGGTTGAAGGTCACACAACATAGAACGGCACCTATCCTTCTGGCCATTACCATCTTGCCTGGGAATGTGGTAGTGATGGTTTGGAGCCTGCCTAAACTGCTATATTGTTAGTAAGTTGGATTACATTTGGCATGGTTTTAATAGTTTTTGTTTTTAAGGTGTTTTAATGTTTTTTGTTGTATGATTTTGGTTATTTTTTGTGGGTTTGTGTGTATGTATGTATTTTAACTTTGTGAGCCACCCAGTCACTTATGTGAGATGAGTGGCTATATAAATTGAACAAATAACTACACTTCACACGTTAGTTCCCTATTTCAGAATCCCTCTTTTTTCTTTTAGTGTTTCTGAATTAAATTCATCCTTCAGATGAGCTTATCATTTCAAGTTGAGGCTCACCATTTATCTATCAATGACAGAATGTAGTGCCTATCATATGCAGTTCTACAGCTATGTTATTTGGAACCCATGTTGCAACTCAGTAACTGAATGGGATGGAGTAGGAAGAGAAATATGTGTTTCACAATCACAATTGAAGCAATGCAACCTAACAATCATTTCAAGATCCATAATCTGAAGTAACTTAGTTCCAGCTTCTGCACAGATACTCATCAACAGTATCAAATAGTAGAACAGTTCTTGGTCCCCTGAAATGTTCTATTTATTGAAAAGAAAGTTTTGAAATGCCAAAGGTAAGGGGCTGATGTAAGTGCTGATTTTCATTGCTTGTTATTAACCATTAACTACTGATATTTCACTGTTTTAGGACACAGCAGGTCAAGAGAGATACAGGACAATTACCACAGCCTACTATCGGGGTGCTATGGGCTTCATTTTAATGTATGACATCACCAACGAAGAATCTTTCAATGCTGTACAAGACTGGTAAGTAAAATATGAGTAGGGATAAATTGGAAATAAAGGATTGTTGACCTGACCACATTTCTGCTGTTGTTGCAATTGGTAAAATATCTGAAAGGCTTTTTCTGTAAGAACAACAGTAACTTAGTTTTGCTAAAGGTGCCTTTCTTATTAGCGTGAATTTGATTTTAAGAATGATTTACCCTGGATAAAGCTTTGTCTCATGCCAGTAGCAAGCTTTTTAAAGTTTTCACTCCTTACTAGTGACCAACTCAAATGTCTTCATAAGAACGTAAGTAGTGCTCTGCTGGATAGGAGCCCTGGCCCATCTAGTCCAGCAGTCTGTTCTCACAGGGGCCAAACAACAGCACAAGGAAGCCCACTAGTTTCCCAGCAGATGGCCTTCAGAGGTAGTCCCACTGCTCTCAAGGCTAATAGCCATTGACCCCCATGATTACCATGAATTGGTCCAACCCTTTCTTGTAGCCAGCACCACATCTTGTGGTAGCAAATTCCAAAGTTTATGCATCGTGTGTATGTATCTATGTATATATATATATATACATATATATATATATTAAGGTAGTCACAAAAATAGAGTTTCACTACTGTCATATTTTAAAAGCTTTTTACATATATTAATATAACTTTTAGGAAGCCTTGTTATATGTATTTTCACCTGTCTTACATTGTGAAAATCAGGGTATTTCTGATATAATTTAGGCCTCTACTTTTTTGAGTTTTTACTGTTTAGTTGTTTTAAAAGATTTTCCCTATTTCCTATGAATTTTTCTGTCTTGTTTCCTTCTTTCTAAGTAGTCAGTATAAGGTTATTCCCTTTAATTTAGGCCTCTACTTTTTTGAGTTTTTACTGTTTAGTTGTTTTAAAAGATTTTCCCTATTTCCTATGAATTTTTCTGTCTTGTTTCCTTCTTTCTAAGTAGTCAGTATAAGGTTATTCCCTTCCCTGTGGCTGTAATTAGATTCTTTTTCCATGTATAAAGCCTTTTCTACAACAGTAATAGTTATATTGTGGTTTACAATATGTATAACATTACAAAGAAATAAGGTTTTTCAAGAAACAATGCTTTTAACATTTAATAAAATTTAAAAAGCACAGTAAAAGTAAAACCTTGCACACAGCTAAAACAAACAGCTTCTGCTAGTAACAAGTGATAGAGTTGGTACAGTGGGGGGAGGACATTACAGCTTTCACTCTCTTTCCCATTCCAGCACAATACAAGATCACTAATAGTAACCAAGCTTACATCTTTTCATTTTGGCTGTATTCTACTAGCAAATAGCTGCTAACTGCTGGTGCTGGTCCAGCCAAAAACAATATGTTTGTCAAACATTGCAATAGTTAAATAACTGCTGATTATTTAATCTATATGTGAGAGAGTTCTAGTGCAGTTATGATACAAACTACAGACCAAGAGGTTGAATGCTTCTCTTTAATATTTACAGAGTGTTTAGTATACAAAACATATTTATGGTGTTAAACCTAAGATATACAACTAATCTACTTACCTGGGCCTAATTTTATTTAAATGAATGGTATAGTGATAAGTGAAAAGTGACAATACTTAAGAAACGTACAGGTTTCCCTTTTTCCTTGTGTTTTTAGCTGCTCATTTCTTACAGCAATAAAGGCAGTATTACCACAGTTCTTTTCTAGCCTTCACCTTTAAGGGCTGGGAATCCTGTTCCTTTTACTCAGGGCTTAATGTGCTTTTACTCTACACTTAGCCCTCTATGATCCTGTATGTGTCTTCCAGCCCTTATACTTCAGTGAGTGCTACCGAAGTTTGCAGTACTCCCTTTTGCTGAGTTGCTTCTCTGGTTTTCAGCCCTTATCAGTTTGTAGAAGGAAAAAAAAAACAATTACTTGTGGAGTCCTAGGTGCTTCTAGGACTCTACAGTTCAACCCTGAACTACATATATTCTCTTCTATTGGAACAATTTCTTGTGGCTGGCTAGCTGCAGCTGGTCTGCATTTTGGAAGGCTTGTGAAGCTGTAAGGCTCTACTATTCCTTTCTCAGCTGTAGTAGCTTCAGAGTCTCTTTACTCACTCTACCAACTGTTTTGGTTTTCCCTCCAGGCACAACTGGCTGCTTTAGCTTTTCAACAGTCTCCTTTCTTTCTTCCACCAACACCCTGTGTCTTTGGCATTCCTCTTTTATCTCCCTGTAGTGGAGGCGTGGTCCTTTGCTCTCTTAAAGTCCCGGGGAACAATCCATAAGGAAGGAAAATTCAGCAACTTTGAGTCTTCCTTTCCACACTGTATAACGAAGTGCATTTGTTAGTTTGTTAAGGAACAACAAAGAGAAGATCAGAGTTAATCCAAAAGTGGGAGGTTGTCCAAAAATAGGACAACAAGCACAAGTGAGTAGTTAATTGGGAAGGTGGTCTCAGAGCTGCTGTGGTGATGAGAAGAGAGATGGTCGCCAACCATTAAATGCAAATGGCAGATTGCTCTGGATCTGGAGAAAAGGGAGAATTGTTGTTCAAATGAAAAAAGTAACTATTGCAATATATATGAGAATATATTTGTTTGTTCTGTGTTGATTTCTTGTGTAAAACATTTTAATCCCACTTTTCAACCCCCACCCCACAATCCTTCCCAGAACCAAACCAAAATTCCTGCAATTAAGTTTGCATTTTGAAAAGTACAAGATGAATAGGAGAGTGAGAAATTTTAAAAATGCTGGTGATGGCACAGGCGAATGTGAATATTCTTATTCTGGACTGAACTGTACACATTATTGCACATTATCCATATTCTGCCACAGGCTGTCTTACTCATTGTAACAGCAAACTTCAACAGGCCTAGGTTACTGGAAGTGAAAATGCTGAGGAAAATCATTCAAAGCTGGGTTATTATATGATTTTTCACCTGCAAGCAGAAAACCTACAACAGATAACTTCCAAGGCCAGAGATCCCACTTTCAGCTTCACACTGTAGGATTTTGTCTAGGTCATGTGCCTGTAAATCCAGCTTTGAATCTGCCAATAGTAACTTTGTGGGGGTTGGCTGCCATTTAGAAGAGAAGTTGCAAAAGCAAGGTCTAAAATAGGAACTTTCTAACCCAGCTCCTTCTTGTCACTCTACTTCCAAAACCATTCTCTATGTTTCAAAGGAGTCTGCATATGACAATATTTATAACTTGTCCTTTGATTTAATAGAGACCTTTTCTCTCATATGTTTAAAAACATCAGTATCTCAGAAGGCATCTTTACTATGCTGGGAAAAGATAGTGCTCTCAGCTCTGCAACCTATCATTCACAGAACATTCTGTCCATTAATACTTTAAGATTTTCATTTTTGCTTCCCATTGATTATTTATAGAACTGGATCCAATGCTTCACCAGTACAGAGCAACAGGGTACCCTATCCTAGGGCATACCATGATTGTGGAGAATCTGGAGAAAACTATCATGGTGTTTGGGAGACATCTTAGTTCTTTCTTCTGAGATATTTTATGCACAGAGCATGGAATCATCGTTTTTAGAGCAAGCCACCTAATCCAATCTAATCCAACCTACAGATCAGTGCAGAAAATCTAGAGGTTGGAGCATCTCCTTGTAGAAGCCTGTCCAATTTCTGCCTGAAGACCTTCTGAAAGCAGGTGTCAACAGTTAGCAGTATGTTAATGATTCAAAAGATGCTTGTCCTGAAGCTTTTTTTTTTTCCAGAATCACCAGCACACTTGTTTCCTCCCTCCCGTTCTCATCTTTTAGAAAATGTAGGATTTTCTTTTTAAAAAAAGACATGTAGTAATAAAGTGTGCAGCATTGTCATTTTGTAGGCAAGAAAGTGCTTCAGAGTACACAGGGGTGCTCATTACCAGTTGTATCTTTTCCCAGAATCATGTAGTTGCCCTCCATAGCTGTAGCCCAATTCCAGGAAAAGATGAATTTGGTTAAGGCAGAGGATGTGTTTTGCTAGAATAATATAGCAAATATAATATACTTTCTAAGATGCCCTAGAGGGAAAGAATCCCTATGAAGCTAGTTTAACAGCACAATCCTATGTCAAACTGATAAAATGTAAATTCCATTGATTTGCCATGATGTTTCTTCACAGGAAAGTGTATATAAGATTCAAACACTTCAGGTGCTTTGCATCATTCCAAAATCAGTTCATTGTTCTCCTGCCATCGAAGTTGAGCTTTTTTATTTCTAGCTCAACAGAAATATTTTTTTCTTAAAAGGGCACACTTTTCATTTGGATAAGGCTTTGCTGCCTTCATAGGCAGTTTGTTTTCCCATGAGAAGTATTTTTTCATCACCTTCAGCTTTAATGATTTGGAGAAAAAATCCCACCCATTCCAGTTTCCTCCACTTGTGTTATTTTCTTATAAACAGGAAAGCTTTGAGAACTATGGTAGCACTCTCTGTATTTCCTTTGATCCAGGCTGTGTAGCAAGGCCTGCATTAGATTCTCTCCACTGAAATTAATGCATTAATGCATAAGTACTACAGCTTGCAGAGATACTGGGTGGCAGAAATACTTTCATCCAACCTGATTCCTAACAGTGTGAACATAAGGCAAACCTTATGTACTAACATTTTTTAAAACTAAGAGTTCGTTAAGCATGTTTGCTTCTTTAGCCTTCCCCAGTCTAACATGGTGGGAATTCTAGAAGTTGTAGTTCTAGTAATCTGGAGGGTTTTGGGTGGGGGAATGCTAATTTAGGAAGATTTAAACTCTCTTTGTTCCTTGTTGCATCCAGTTCTTCCACACTTAGCTGGAGTCCTTTAAATCTTAGAGGGCTTTATGTATAACTGAATAAATAATTGTTCCAAAAATCTAAAGCCATGTAAGGAATTCACATAGATATTGCTCCCAAGTACAATACTGAATACAGCTTCAGTCTTTTGACCCAAACATTTTAGCATAGTTGCTATATTTTTTCACATATGCAAGGATGAAAAGGTATGAGAGGTACAATGAATACTGCTGTAAATTACATGCAGTTTCCTTTTTCCTTTTCTCCTGCCTTTGAGTTCTTTTCTTTCA